CAAAGATCTACAGCATTTCTATCGGTATGGCTAGTTCTCCACCAGAATGCTAAGGATGTTTAACTAGTATATATATTACAGATGATCTATTGAATAATTCCAGTATTCCTCATGAATGACTTGTCTTTCTGGTTCACTTGAATTAATCAAATGACACATCTATAACCAGCTAACCTAAGAAGTTGCTGTGTTATGACTTAATACCACCAGTTAACCTAAGAAATGGTTGTGTTATGGTTTATTATGTGCGCACGCACCTACTATTATGGAGTCAATTGAATAATTCAAGTATTCCTCATGAATGACTTCTCCTTCAGGTTTGCTTGAATTAATCAATTGTCATGGATACCACCAGTTCACCTAAGAAGTGACTGTGTGATGGTTAATATACATCAAACCTACCGGTTGACTTGCCAGGAATATAGAAGTTAATTGATGTAAGCTAGCATTTTCAGTACTTGACCAATATAATGCGTATGGGATCCTTGAACTGAAGGATACTTTTAACATCATTTTATCAACTTTATCTGCAACCAACTATTTAATTATACTAGTTATCAATCTAAGCTCATATCACAAGCTATCACATGCTGTCCTATCTAAAATAACAACTTTACTATTTTTATTTTATTTTCTAATTATTCAAACTATTCATGGGATCGATACTTGGACTTAAAACCAATAAAACTACAATTTATCCACTTATACTTGGGTGTATAATATAAATATCAGATCATGAAAAAGTGCGAATCAGAGCCAAGGTCATAGTGGTGGGCCGGCGACAAGACAAGATGTGCCACCTACCCAAGGAGTGGACGAAGTACAAGACGAGCTCAACCAGGAGGAGGAGAGAGAAAAGGATGAAGAGAGAGAGTAGCCCCAAGAGGCAGGCCCCAGCACAAGCACCTGGCACACTTTATAAGACATCATGCTTAGCATTGAAGCTAAGCATGATGAGATTCTTAGACTTCTGAGGGGTGGACCTGGTGGAGATGGTGGACTTGGAGGAGAAGGAGGAGATTGAGAGATGTATTTTTGTTCTTGATCTGGGTTTTGTGTATTTGTTTCTTCATGTATGGTGGGCTTTTTCTTTTATAGTTTGTTGTGGATGATTGATTCTTCTTTGGAAGTTGGTTATGGATATTTGGAATTTTTTGTGTTGTGTCCCTTCTTTGGTTGATGGATTGAACCTTTGATGTGTGTATCAAATAATCATATTTTATGAAATGAATGGTTCAGTTTATCTCTTTAACTGTTTAAAATGCATGTATAGAATTAGCACTTTAGTTATTCTTGTTAATAAATGATGAAACAGATGTGGATTCTAAGGTTGCGTGTTAAAATTACTAAGCATATGATTGGTTTGACACCTCAACTTAGCAACCGAGACTTAAAACCACATTTCTTGAAAAATTGGTATTGTCTCTATGCTTAAATTGTCAAATGTAAATTAGTATTTGTTATTCTTAAGGTACAAGATGATCAGACTCGAAAATGGAATTGTTATATAACCAACATTCCTTGAAACATCCGACATAACCAGTGGAGATGATAAAGAATACCATGGTAAGTTTTGAGCTCTACGATGCTTTTGAGAGGATATCAACATTTACTCAAAGTAAGCTATTTCACTTCCAATTTTTTTTGTCAATAATCTCATTATCGTTGCTTTGATTGACGCAACTAAAGTGATCTATTGACATATCCCATAGGGAACCTTTACATACGACACATACATGTGCACATACTTGAGAAAGGATCTTAGGCCATCTTTGATTTGACTTTGAGCCTTAGCCATTTCTTTTAAAAAGAATATCCTAGTAAGCCATGCTTGAGCCTTCAATGAATGATTTCTTTTTTGAAAAATCCATATGATAATCGAGTCACAAGAGAATACATTTAACATACCTTGTTATCTAATTTTCTTCCACCCTCTTATAAATTAGTATGATATACAGAAAGGCAAGAAAAATAGAAAAGGCCATAGTGGCTTATATTCAATGAAATAAAAATCAGTGGAAACAACCAAAAAAGAAAAGAGATAGATAGATAGGGAATTGCCAAGAAAGTGAAAAATGAGAAAGATGAAAGAAAGAAATACCATTCCTAGGAAAAATGTCGAAAAGCTAGAAAAAGGTGTGCTACACTGCAAAAAAAAGGGGATAACTTTTGAACACCATTGATGTCATTTCGTTAGCCACTAACCTCTGGCCACATTACAACCTACAAAAAACCCTAATTGATCTCTAGTTTGATACATGTGTAGGTCGTCGACTACAAGTGGGGTATGTTAACTAGTATTTCTTTATTTGCATTAATATTCTTCCATGAGATTATGCCAAAAGTAAGTCTGTTTCCTTAAAACTTCACTCTTATACTAATTGTGCATGGGATTTTTCGACTGGCCATCTTCTGATCACATGCCCTTTGAGAGATAAGTCACTATAATTAGAGAGAATTTTTGCCGAGAGCATTCTAAGGGAGGTTTGTGAAATCAAAGCTATCCATGGAAGGTGGTAAAGTGGAATGATTGTTATATACCAATTCTTGTTTCTAGAATGACCATTCCTACTACATAGGGAATTGCAAATGCCAATGTGATTGATCCTAATTTTTGCATAGAGTAAATACCTATGAAAGAGGAGCATGCGGGATAAGTCAAGGTTGAGGGTTGAGTGTTCCTATGACCATGATGCTAACTCACCTTAATCAGTAATCTCACATACACATCTGTTTGACTGAAGTTTGTGGGTAGCTTCACTGAAAATCCTCATGAGAGAACACTCGTCCACTGGGGTAAACCTAGTGGTTCAACGGCTTGTTACATAAGCTAAATGCAACCAGATGACCAACGAAAAAGGCATTAGAAATAATTTTACATTTCATTGTTGTTGTATTATTAGGTTGGGGGATGTAATTAGTACATAAATTTAGCATATTACTATGCCTTTTTAGGACTAATTATACTTTAATGGCGTTTAAATGATGACATTTCAGGTCCTAAAGTGAACAAGGGCTCAAGGACAACAAATATCATAGTTGGCTGTAACACCAGTATATTGGGAGACAAAATTGGAGAAGCTTGGAACAAAACAAGAATGTTTGAACACCAACTCATGTTCAAACATCCACTTGAACTATGAGAAGACCAGACTGTTGAGACATGGCGTGTTGCAGGCAAGAAAGAAGAACCTGAGGTACTTGAGTACCATGTTTGAATGAAAAATCACGTTCAAACGTCAACTTGAATTGATTGAAGACCAAGATGATGAGTGCAAAGTGCCAAGATGTGCATAGAGTGTGGAAATAGGTTTCCACAGAAGACCACAGACCACTTGAGCGAGAAGGTCAGGCCCTATCTGGAGTTCGAACGCCCATAAAGCAAAGACAGAAGAAATTTTCGAACGCCAGACAACATTCGAACACCCATAAAGCAAAAACAGAAACCATGCTTGAAAGTCAGATCACGTTCGAATGTTCTCCATAGACAGGCTGTAGAGTGGTTGATCTTTTCTCCGGACATTGGGATTTTCACTTGGACTTTGAATGCCATGTACTATTCCTCCACACTACTTTCCTCCATCCTCCTTGCCTATAAATACTCCTATTGTGGGAGCTTGAAGGGAGACTTAGTAGAGAGCTAGATGGTGGCTTAGACTCCCACTCATGTAGCTAGTCTTAGATGTATGTTATATTTGTTTGTATCAAGGGAGTTAGTTCATCTTGTGGTTGAGGAAGCAACCCTCCATATTTTGGTTGATGAAGCAACCCTCCATCTTTTGGTTGAGGAAACAACCTTCCATCTTTTGGTTGAGGAACCAACCCTCCATCTTTTGGTTGAGGAAGCATCTTTTAGTTGATGAAGCAATCTTGTAAAAGTGACTAGCTTTCTTCTACTTTCATTGTTTAGGTCTTTCATTTCCAATTGTTAAGATTCCTTCTTTCTTAGAAGAGTAAAACTCTTCCACTTTTCTAGAACTTCACCAAAGCCATGAATGGTGGAACATGATTCACTCATTTTTCGTTGAAGATCGGTTCTTTGTTTAGTGTGTTTCACTTTGTAACTCCTCTACTTGGAGGGATGAGTATCACTCACTTTTCTAGCTTTACCAAAACCATGAAGAGTGAATAGTTCCTTATTCATTCTTTAGTAAGAGGTGATGAACATGTATTAATTATCCAGAAGTTATATTTGTGCATTTCCTTTATGTTTTAATGCCTTATATTTCACTTGTTTGTTAAATGATTGATTGCATCTAGCAAAGCTAAGGTACTTTGTGTAGCCATGAATTCTTTCTATGTTACAGATAACTCTAGCATAGAAAGACCCCGTTGGTTCAAGGCAAGTACCTCTGCTTGATCTTCATGACAACATTTCAATCTTCAGCATTATTGTGCTTTATCTAAAGAATGGAACATTAATGCCATGGTTAGATGCCTTTGTAAAAACACTTGCTTGTTTGTAGACGGGTTGAGTCTCGGCACAAACAATTCTTGTAAACTTCTAGAAAGGCATCGGAATCATGAGCTTAATTCTCACAATCCATCTTTATCTTTCGATTAACTTGCTATTGACATGGGAGTTAATTGAGTTATAAAGGACAAGTATAATAAACCGGATGATTAATTACGTATTTTGATCCTCGAACCAAAGAGGGGCTGTCACCTTTGATAATTTATCTTATATTTTGTCTAGAAAAAAATTAATTGGAAAGAATCTTATATTCTATCCAGCAAATCCCATAACTTCAAAATCTCAAGGTTTCCAGTTATTTGGTCTCTGTCACTGCTTACTTCAAAACACCAATCATAGTTCCCTGTGAATTCGACGCCGGACTTAATCGGATTATTACTACAGCTTGACTGCTTGCACTTGAGTGTACACATTTCGAATCAAGTCAATTAACGAGACAAAGAGGGAGTATTTCAAGAGTGGATGGGATAAGACACTTCAGGCTGTTGGGGTCCCTGCCAAGTTGCCTCTCTTCAGATAACACAAGTACACTCCCTCCACCAAGATGGAGCAAGCCACAGTCGAGGTTGAGGCTGAAGAAGCTGAGATCCTCCAAGTTCCAGATCGAGCTTCATCGGCCGAGGATACTGCCCCTACTCCTGTCCCTCTGGTTGTTCCTGTCCCTCAACTCGAGGTTGTTCCTACTTCTACTAACACTACCCCTAGCCCTGTCAACATTGCTCCTACCCCCCCACAGGGTGAAGCCTTCTCTGCTCATGCCGATGATGTGCTTACTCTCTGCAATGCTAACTCTTTCTCTACTAGCATCAATGTGCTTTTTGGCAACATCAGAAGTGGCATTAGGGACGACGTCATTGGTCCATCGTAGAGCAACTTCTTTTACTTGTAATTTATTTTTAAATTTTTGAAGCTTGAGGGACGCAAAACCCTCCTTTTTTGGAATATAAGGATGCCTTTCTTTTACTAAGTGTTTGTTACTTTTCTTTTCTTCTATCTTCATCTTCAGGGCCAAGTCTCTTCCTAGAGACTTCAGCTCATTGGGTCCATCCCTTCTTAGAAGACTTCGCCCTTGGACCATGTCAAGGCTATACCCCTTTTGTCTTTTTGAGGCTAGTCTTTTTCAAGGTCTTTTTCATGCCCCTCAAGGAGGCTTCACTCTTTGAGTCTTTTGGGGGGCATATCTTTTTCTAAGGCTTTGCCCTCAAGGCCATGCTCCCATCCAAGAAGTTTCACTCCTTTTGTCTTTTTGGAGGCAGGAGTCCTTCAAGACTTGCCTTTGGGGCCATGCCCCCTCTAGGAGGCTCTACTCCTTGGGTCTCTTTAGGGGTAAAAGTCTATTTAGCATCTTTGCCCTCGGGGCCATGCCCCCTCAGAAAGTTTCATTCCCTTATATCCTTCGGCAGTGGGAGCGACATGCGCACTTCACCTCTAAGGTCATGCCCTTAGATAACACACTTAGCCAAAATAAGTTCTTTCATTCAAAAGTAGTACTTTTTCAAATTCATTACATTTTAGGGCCGAAGTATGACATTTCCTTCCATGTCCACTAGCATGTATGATTTAGAACCCCCTACCGATATGACTTTGTACAGTCCCTCCTAGTTAGGTCTCATCTTCCCATCGGTCGGGTCATGAGTATTCCCGATTTCTCTTATGAGCACTAGATTGCCTACTTAAAATATTTGGGGTTTCACTCTTTTATTGTAGAGTTTGGACACCCCCTCTTGGTATTTCGCTGACTACAAGACATCTATTTCTCTTCTTTATTCTGCAAGATACAAGTCCAAGCTGAGTTGGTGATCGTTCTTTCCCTTATTAGAAGCATGTGTCCTTATAGTGGGAAGACCTAATTCCAATAGGATAACTCTACTCCGTAGGCAAGGGCATAAGGTGTCTCACTTGTTGGGGTCTGAGGAGTCGTCCTATAAGACCAAAGGACATTCAGGAGCTCTTCCACCCATTTTCATGTAGTTTTCTCCAGTCTCTTCTTAATTCCATTGATGATAGTCTTGTTGGAAGACTCCATTTTTCCATTGGCTTGAGGGTACAAAGGCGTACCAAATTAATTTCAGATTTTGAGGTGTTCACAAAAAGACTTAAAAGTCTCGCTGTTAAATTAAGTCTCGTTATCCTATACAAGCACATGGGGGAACCCGAACCTCGTCACTATGTTCTTCCACACGAACCATTTGGTATTTATGTCTTTAATGTGAGCCAACGGCTTAGCTTTAACCCACTTTGTGAAATAATCAATTCCAACTATTAGGAACCTCTTATTCCTAGGACCCTTTTGAAAAGGTCCGACCAAGTCGAGTCCCCTTTGGGTGAACGGCCAGGGGGTTGTTAGAGGGTGCAAATCTCCCATCAGTTGCTTGATGGCCGGGGCAAACCTTTCACATGTAAGCTTGTGCATCCTTCTACATCTACGACCATCAATACCCTTCAGACATGATTCGATGAGCCATGGACCTTCCGCTAGAGTGCACCTCACATATTCCTTCATGTACCTTGCACAAGAGGGGCTCAACTTTATCCTCGTGGATACAAAGCAAATAGGGTCTTGAGAATGAATATTGGTACAACTTTTGATCTGGGGAGGCCCAGAACCTCGGGGCCCTCAACTTTATCTTCCTGGCTTCCTTGGGACATTCTGGGAGCTCACTAGACACAAGGAATTTAAGTAGGGGATTGATCTAGCTAGGGTGTTCTCCTTCTTCTTTGATCACAAACACTTATGGAGCGTCGTCTACGCTAGAATTAGGAAGGTACTCCATTGTGATCCAGCACATTATGTCGAAATCCAACACCGGGGTTAGGTATGCTAATGCATCAGCGTGGGCATTTTTATCTCATGGGACCTGCTTAACTTCAATCTTGAACTTATGGAGTAAGGTAATTGCCTCATGGTGATAAGCCTTCATCCTTGGATCCCTCGCTTCAAACTCTTCATTGATTTGATGACCACCAATAAGGAGTCATAGAGAATCGTCAACTTTGTAGTCCTCACCACATCAGTAAGTCATAGTCCTCAAATGAGGGCTTTGTACTCAGCCTCATTGTTGGATGTTTTGAAACCTAACCACACAGCCTACTTCGTGACCAAACCTTCAAGAGATACCAATAATACTCTAATTTTGGACTCTTTGTTGTTGTAGGATCTGTCCACACACAACTTCCAGGATTGCACTTGACCATCTGCGAAAGGTTCTGTTATGCCCTCCCTGGGGGGAAATGGCTCCCCTTGAGTGAACTTAGAAATGAAGTCTGCTAGTGTTTGACCCTTTATCGTTGTGCGGGTTTATAATGAATGTTGTGTTCCCCCAACTCCATGGCCCATTTCACTATCCTTCTAGAGAGATCTTCCTTCCTCAAGATTGCCTTCAAAGGTTAAAGCATAAGGATAGTGATAGGGTGTGCCAGAAAATAATGCCTCATCTTTCATGTGGCAACACAATTTTCCCCAAAGGCAAGTACCTTGTCCCTAGGTCCAGGAAGGCCTTGATCACATAATACACCAACTTTTATTCATGCTCATGCTCATGGACAAACACGTGTGCTGATGGTGAACTTAAAACCAACTAGGTAGAGGAATAGCATCTCTCCACTTTCTTGGACCAAGAAGGTTAGAAGTGTTGGGCTTCTTTTGTGGAGGACATATATAAGTTGTTATTCAGTGATTAGGGTTTTTTGGATTGATATTGTACAGCCGCCGCCCTCTCTGTATTCTTTCTTGAGAATAGTGAAATTCCTGTAGTGTCGTGGACATAGGCAAATTGCCGAATCAGGTAAATTCTATGTTGTGTGATTGTTTGGATTGCATTCTTATCATTGTTTTCATTAATTTCAATTTATTGTCATCATTTGATTTCACAATAATTGGTATCAGAACCAAGGTTCAGGTCTGAAATAAACAATGGCTAGAGAAGAAGTGAAGACATCTAGGACTGAGAAGTTTAATGGCACAGATTACGGGTAATGGAGGATATAGATATAGGACTACCTCTATGGGAGGAAACTTCATCTTCCACTATTGGGGACGAAACTAGAGAGTATGAAGGATGAAAGCTGGAAACTGTTAGACCGACAGGTTCTGGGGGTTATTTGGCTGACCCTTTCAAGATCAATTGCACAAAACGTTACCAAGGAAAAGACCACTACAGATCTCATGGCAGCTTTGTCAAGTATGTATGAAAAGCCTGATGCGAATAAGAAAGTGCATCTGATGAAAAAGTTATTCAATCTGAGGATGGCAGATGACATGTCTATTACCCAACACCTGAATGAGTTCAATACCATCACCAATCAATTATCATCTGTTGAAATTGAAATTGAATTTGATGATGAGATTTGGGCTCTGATATTGCTGACATCATTGCCAAACAGTTGGGAATCCATGAGGATGACTGTTAGTAATTCAGCTGATAAGATGAAACTTAAATACGATGATATTCGTGATTTAATTTTGGCTGAGGAGGTGCGTAGGAAAGATTCTGGTGAGAACTCGAGATCAAGTTCTACTCTAAATGTTGACATTCGTGGAAGGTCATATTACAAAAACTACTCAAATAGAGGAAGATCAAAATCAAAGAACAGGGGCAAGAGCAAGTCAAGGTCTAGACAGCAGCAGACAACTTGCTTGAATTGTGGCAAAACTAGCCACATAAAGAAGAACTACAAAAATCTGAAAAAGACGGAATGCGATGGTGCAAATGCAGTGGCTGAAGAAGTGCAAGACGCACTATTACTTGCAGTTCATAGTCCATTTGATGACTGGATACTGGATTCAGGGGCATCTTTTCATACCTCCTCTCAGTGAGAAATCATGCACAATTATGTTGTTGGTGATTTTGGGAAAGTGTACGTGGCTGATAGACAGGCACTGAACATAGTGGGGGATAGGAGATGTTGATATTACACTTCCTAATAGGAACGTGTGGACCTTGCAGAAGGTCAGGCACATTTCGAGTTGAAGAAAAATCTTATTTCTGTGGGACAGCTCGACAATAGTGGTCACTCAATAGTGTTCTCAAATAGCACCTGGAAAGTTTTTAAAGGAGCACTAGTGCTGGCCCGGGGTAACATGACTAGTATTTTGTACATGACAAAAGGCTCCAGTGATACTATTGCCACCACCACTAAAGAGAATACTGCAGAACTGTGTCATTGCAGACTTGGTCATATGAGTCAGAAAGGCATGAAGGAACTCGTGTCAAAAGGCAAGTTACTAGAACTGAAAATAGTTGATTTGGGCATATGTGAGAGTTGTATACTTGGAAAACATAAAAAGGTCATTTTCTTGAAGAGTGGCAGAGCTCTGAAATCAGGAAAGTTGGATCTAGTACACACAGATGTATGGGGACCCTCCCCAGTGACATCCCTTGGAGGTTCCCGATACTATGTCACGTTCATTGACGACTACAGTAGAAAGGTATGGATTTATTTTTTGAAACATAAATCTGACATGTTTGATGTGTTCAAAAAGTGGAAGGCCCTAGTTGAGACGGAGACAGACCTACAGCTAAAATGCTTGAGGTCTGACAATGGTGGAGAGTACATTGAAGTAGGATTCAAGGAGTACTGTGCGGCTCAAGGTATTAGAATGGAGAAGACCATTCCTAGGACAACACAACAAAATGGCATTGCTGAGCGCATGGACAGAACCATTAATGAGCGTGCTAGGAGCATGAGACTGCATGCAGGGCTACCACCTACATTTTGGACAAAAGCAGTGAACACTGTAGTGTATCTGATCAATCGTGGACCATCGGTTCCATTGGAGTGCGGACTACCTGAAGAGGGTTGGAGTGGGAAAAAGGTTAAACTTTCTCATCTTAGAACATTTGGTTGTGTTTCTTATGTTCTTGTTAA